TCTGAGTTAGCAGAATTGAAGATCCAAATAGAAGATTTGCTCGAGAAGAAGTTTGTTAGACCAAGTGTGTCACCGTGAGGAGCTCCTGTGTTATTGGTGAAGAAGAGGGACGATAGCATGAGACTTTGCATTGATTATTGTCAGTTGAATAAAGTGACTATCAATAATAGGTATCCACTTCCTAGAATTGATGATTTGATGGACCGATTGGTTGGCGCTCGCATGTTTAGCAAGATTGATTTGAGATCGGGTTACCATCAAATAAGGGTGAAAGAAGAAGATGTTCAGAAAACTGCATTCAGGACGAGGTATGGACATTACGAGTATTCGGTGATGCCTTTTGGTGTCACTAATGCACCGGGAGTATTCATGGAGTACATGAATCGTATTTTCCATCCTTACTTAGATCGTTTCGTGATTGTTTTCATTGATGATATTCTGGTTTATTCTAAATCAGAAGAAGAGCACGCAGAACATTTGCGCATTGTGTTGGAAGTTCTGAAAGAGAAGAAGCTTTATGCTAAGTTGTCAAAGTGCGAGTTCTGGTTAAGTGAAGTGAGCTTTTTGGGGCATGTCATTTCTGGTGATGGCATTACGGTGGATCCTTCTAAAGTTGATGTTGTGTTAAGATGGGAAACTCCTAAGTCTGTTACTGAGATTAGAAGTTTCTTAGGTTTGGCTGGTTACTATAGAAGGTTCATTGAAGGTTTTTCTAAGTTGGAGCTTCCTTTGACAAAGTTAACTTGTAAAGGATCTGCGTTTGTGTGGGATGTCAAGTGTAAAGAAAGTTTTGTTGAATTGAAGAAAAGGTTGACAACGGCTCCGATCTTGATTCTACATAATCCTGAAGAACCGTTTGTTGTTTATTGTGATGCTTCTAAGATGGGTTTAGGTGGTGTGCTTATGCAAAATGGAAAAGTGGTTGCTTATGCTTCTAGGCAATTGAAGATTCATGAGAAGAATTATCCTACACACGATTTGGAGCTTGCAGCAGTTGTTTTTGTGCTTAAGATTTGGAGGCATTATCTTTATGGTTCTAGATTTGAAGTATTTAGTGACCATAAAAGTTTGAAATACTTGTTCAATCAGAAAGAGCTTAATATGAGGCAAAGACGGTGGCTTGAATTGTTGAAAGATTATGATTTTGGATTGAACTACCATCCTGGTAAAGCTAATGTGGTGGCCGATGCTTTAAGTTGAAAGACTTTGCATATGTCACTTTTGATGGTGAAAGAGTTGGAAATGATTGAGCAATTTAGAGATATGAGTCTTGTGATAGAAGTGACGCCGAAGAGTGTTATCTTGGGAATGTTGAAGATCAATAATGATTTTCTTGATAGCACTAGTGAAGCTCAGAAGCTTGATGTGAAACTTGTTGATTTATTGGTTAATGTTGGTCAAACTGAAAATGAAGATTTCAAGTTGGATGCTCAGGGTGTTTTGAGGTTCCAAGATAGAATTTGTATTCCCGGTGATGTGGATTTGAAGAGAATGATTTTGGAAGAAAGTCATAGAAGCAATTTGAGTATTCATCCCGGATTGACCAAAATGTATCAAGATTTAAAGAAACTATTTTGGTGGTCGGGCATGAAATGAGAGGTGGCTCAGTTTGTTTATGCTTGTTTGACATGTCAGAAGTCTAAAGTGGAGCATCAGAAACCTGCAGGATTGATGCAACCGTTAGAGATTCCGTAGTGGAAATGGGATAGCATTTCTATGGATTTCGTAACGGGGTTACCGAATACACCAAGAGGACACAATGCAATTTGGGTGATCGTTGATAGGCTTACAAAGTCGACTCACTTTATTCCTATTAACATCACTTATCCCGTATCGAAGTTGGTGGAAATTTATATGCATGTGATTGTGAGATTGCATGGTATTCCTCTTTGTATTGTTTCAGATAGAGATCTGAGGTTTACTTCTGAATTTTGGAAAAGCTTGCAAGAAGCTTTGGGTTCAAAGTTGAGGTTGAGTTCGGCTTATCATCCTCAAACTGATGGTCAGACGAAAAGGACGATTCAATCGTTGGAAGACTTGTTACGAGCATGTATTCTTGAACATGGTGGTTCATGGGATACATACCTTCCTTTGATTGAGTTTACTTATAACAACAGTTTCCATGCTAGTATTGGAATGGCACCATTTGAGGCTTTGTATGGTCGGAGGTGTAGAACTCCTTTGTGTTGGCATGAGTCGGGTGAGAGTGTGGTGCTTGGACCAGAATTGGTTAGAGAGACTACTGGGACGGTGAAGATGATTAGAGAAAAGATGAGAATTTCTCAAAGTCTACAAAAGAGTTATCATGATAAAAGGAGGAAGGACTTGGAATTTCAAGATGGTGATCATGTATTTTTACGAGTTACTCCTACAACCGACATTGGGCGAGCATTGATGTCGAAGAAGCTAACTCCTCGCTTTATTGGTCCTTACCAAATTACTAGTAAAGTGGGAAAAGTGGCTTATAGAGTGGCGTTACCTCCAAATCTTTCGAACTTGCATGATGTGTTCCATGTGTCGCAACTTCAGAAGTATGTTCTGGATCCTTCACATGTGATTGAGATGGATGATATTCAAGTTCGAGACAATCTTACGGCGGAGACGATGCCTTTGAGGATCGAAGATCGTGAGATAAAGTCTCTTCGTGGCAAAGAGATTTCATTGGTTAAAGTTATTTGGATAGGAGCAGCTGGTGAAAGTGCGACGTGGGAGTTAGAAAGCAAGATGCGGGATTCCTATCCCGAGCTTTTCGAGCCAGGTAATTTCGAGGACGAAATTTTATAAGTGGGGGAGAGTTGTAACGCCCCATTTTATTTAATATTATATTATATTAATATTTTCGAGTTACCGTTTGACGTTTATTTTTGCGACGAGAATATTTATATTAACTGTTATATCTGTTAATATATTTGACGACGTTTTATTTGGACCGATAATTATTTTATTCGGTCCGGTATTTGTTTTGGGGGACCGGTAATTATTTTATTCGGTCTGATATTTATTTTGAGGGACCGGTAATTATTTTATTCGATCCGATATTTGTTTTGAGGGACCGGTAATTATTTTATTTGGTCTGGTATTTGTTTTGAGAGACCGATAATTATTTTGTTCGGTCCGGTTTTTATTCCGTTCGGTTCGATAAAATATTATTCGGACCGATATTTAATTATTTGAAGTTATTTTGATTAAGTGGCCTTTTGAATTATATTTTGGGTTAGTAAGACTAGTGGGGGATAGTATGGTATTTTCATGTTGTCTTAAGACCAAAATTTAAACAAAGACATTAGTTGTTGTTTTATGAGAGATCGAAGTATCATAACACAAAACACATTTAGAGAACAAAAAAGAGAGTCTTGGAAGAGAAGAAGAGGAGCAAGAACAAAGTTTGGGTTTTATGGTTGGTTGAATCATTAAGAATCAATTCAAACATCTAAGGTAAGGGGTTTGATTTTCCACTTCCTATAGTTAGGGTTTGATTGGTATATTTTTAATTTGGGATAAAATTGATTTTAGGGTTTATGAGTTGTGTTGAGTGATTTTGATAGAGGTTAGAGGAGTTGATTTAGGTGTTGTTGTTGTTGTTGTTGAATTATTATTAGAATTAATTGAAATTGAAAAGAAAATAGAATTTTATTAATTTGGAAATGAATAAACTGTCAGTTTGCAAATGAAATTAAATTATGCAGGTTTTCATGTTTTTTTTTTGGAATATGTTTTAGAAAAATGAAACAAAACAAAAAAATAAATAAATTAAGTGCCATGAAGTGGGACGTTCAACCTCCTTTCTCATGTGCATAACGAGGACATCCGTCCCTTTGTTCATGCTTGAAGGGAGTTATGGCACTTGCTGTTTTCCTCTTTTTTTCTTCTTGTGCAATAATGTTATTCCTCTGTTCTAGTTTTTCAGTATGAAATAGTTTATGTTTTAAATTTTAATTTTCATAATTCTTATATTAATTAATTATATTAATTAAAAACAAATATGACATAAGTTAGCCGATTTAATTTAGAACCCGATTATGTTCCGATTTTTCGATTTCGGCAATTTCGGCGACGGAGCTAGTTGCTCCGAATTGAACGAAAATTGACGTGCTAACTAATTTTGACGTGTAGAACGTCGTGGTGAAGTTAGTTTTTCGAGACTTCGAGTTTTTACAAAGCGACCCGAAATATGTCAATTTACGGTTAAATTGAACTGGGTTGCGTTTTAGTCGGTTTAAGTTGCGTATGGACAATCTGATTGCGAAGTTGACGATTATGATTGATGCCGATTATTGTGAATGACTTTTGCAACGATTATTGATGTTTGATTAATTTTCCATGTTTGAAATTAAGTGAATTAATTGATGATGATGTTGTGTGATTAAATATGATGTTTGCGACGTTTTATTCATAATGAATGCTTGATGATAAATGATGCGATGATATGTTTATCTTGATGTGATTAAATATGGAGACGTGGGCTTTATGCCAATTTTGATGTGCGATGATGATGTTTTTTTTGTTGTGTCGTGTTTGTGATGTCGTGTTGTCGAGTCACATACATTGCATTGGCGACGAGGGCTTTTATGCCAAGCGACGAGGGCTTTTATGCCAAAGCGACGTGGGCTTTATGCCAAATGTCCCTAATTATGGACAAAGTGACGGGTACCACATGCATAACATAGTCGTGTCTCATGGAGTCGGTTATGTTTATTTTTGAGTTTTATTTGATGGCTTATGACGATTGCGATGTTATATGATAATTTGTTTTGTGATGAATTTTGTGTTGAACATAAAGTGAATATAATGAGATGATTTCATGAAGATTATGCGATGGATATAACATGACGGTAAAACGACGATATGAGTCTATGGCGATGGAGTTTATGTTTTGTCTTGATATGATTATGGTGATTATGTGACGATGTTAAAGTGTTGATTTTATATACTGAATGATGATTTAAAAGTATGTGAGATTTGAATATTTGTTGACATACTCTTATTATCCTATATCATTTATGATTCCAAAACTATTTATATATTTTATCATGCCTTTAATTATATGTTTTGGAGTATCTCACCCTTTACTTGTTTCGTCGTTGCCTTTATATTACTCGAGTCTCTTTATTTTGAGTCGCTCTGTTCTGATAATAGTAACACTCGGGTTTTGGGCGACGTGATTATTTTGATAGGATAGTTTATGTATACTTTCTTATGACTTTATTTATTGATGATAACATGATGATATGTACATTTTGTGAACAGATCCGCTGTATTATGAATAGTCATATATTTATATGATGATTTATGATATGAATTGGTATATCCGACTTTTGATTTTTGTGATGTGCATTATAATGCAAAGTGATGAAAAATACGAATATGTGATACCTCAATTTATGTTTAGATGAAATTTTAAAACTCTGATTTTATTATTAATTACGAAGGGGTAGAATTGGGGTGTTACAAATAGCAGCGTCGAATCCATAAACATGAACAAAGCACTAGTTTATCAAAGGAACCAACTTCTGCATACTGAGGAAATAATGTGGAGACAACGCAGTTATGTCCTTTGGCTCAGTCATGGTAATAAAAACACCAAAAAATTTCATTGGAAGGCGGAGAAAAGGAGATGAGCAAACAAGATCTCAAAACTTAAAGATGATCAGGGTCATTGGTGGAAAAGAGAGTTTCACTGCGAGAGGCTTCTAGTTACATTTTTTGCTGAGTTTTTTGCTTCTTCTAATCCTTCAAATGTAGAGGAAACTTGCTTTATGGTTTCAGGCAGACTCAAGCAGGAGCATATCATGTGCTGCGAGGAGACTTTCACCGGTGCTGAAGTTAGAGAAGCCTTATTCCAGAAAGGGGTCTCTGTCAAGGGAACCCTCTTTCTCCTTACTTATTTATTTTGTGTGTTCAGGCTTACTCAAGAAAGGAATGGTGGACAAGAAGATTCATGGTATTATAGTTGCTCGTGGAGCTCCCGAGACATTGCACTTGTTTTCACGAATGACATCCTCCTCTTTGCTAGAGCAAATACCAATGAGGCCACAAAGATTTTGGATATCCTCCGGCAATACCATACGGCTTCGGGACAAATTGTCAACCTTGTGAAATCTGAGGCTTCGTTTAGTGGTAATGTAAGAAATGAAGACAGGGCCGAAATTCAATCCTTAATGGGGGTCAATGATGTACAAGGGCACTCTAGGTACTTGGGAGTCCCAAACATTTTTCGAAGATCAAAAAAAAAAATACATTTAGATTGGTGGTTGATAGAGTGTGGAAAAAAGTTAAAGGCTGGAAAGAGAATTTTTTATCGAAAGCTAGGAAAGAGGTTCTTATAAAAGTTGTGGCACAAGCAATATCAAGTTACATTATGGGATGTTACAAAATTCCAGAAACAATGTGTCAGGAGATTGAAATCCTAATTTCCAAGTTTTGGTGGGGAGCAAAGGAAGGCGAGAAAAAGATCCATTGGATGCGATGGAAGAGGCTGGAAAGATCAAAGAAGGTAGGGAGGATGGGATTTAGAGGATTCAGTGAGTTTAATCAAAACTTATTGGGGAACCATTTTTGGAGGCTCATGAAGGAAGAAGGCTCCTTGTTTGAAAGGGTCTTCAAAAGTAGATATTATCCAAAGTGTTCAATTATGGAGAGCAAAACGAACTATAACCCCAACTACGTATGGAGGAGTATCCTTTCTTCAAAGGAACTCATTCAAAGAGGCACGAGGTGGTGTATTGAGAATGGGGATAAAGCAATGGCAAAGAAGGATAATTGGCTAATGAATGTTGCGTGTTTCAAAGTGGTGGGACATGTTAGAAATGTTGAACTGGATGTCAAGGTGAGCTACTTCATAGATAATGATTTGGGTATGTGAAAGAGAGACTTGATTAATAGCATCTTTGAGGAAGGGGACACAAAGCAAATACTGAGAATTCCTTTGTCTAGAAGGAATGTGGAGGACAAGCAAGTGTGGCATTATGAAAAATCGGGAGAATATTCTGTGAAAACAGCGTATCACTTGTGCGCCCATGAGAAAGATGTGAAGAAGCCCGACCCCTCAAAACCTCCATTTCAGGATCTGTGGAAGAAGCTTTGGTCGACTCCCATCCACACCAGAACAAAAAACTTCTTGTGCAGACTTGTCAAAAACCTCCTCCCCACAAAGACCAGACTACTGCAGAAAGGGATCTCTCTCGATGGTACTTGCAGTTTGTGTCAGGAGGCCTTAGAGTGTGTAGAGCATTTATTCACTAAATGTGACTTCACTAGGAGGGTTTTCTTTGCTTCTGTTCTTGGCTACCACTCCAACAATGGTAGCGATTTGAATGACTGGATTCTGCAAGTGCTGTCTAGTGGTAACTTGTTTTTCGTGCAAGTTGTTTGCTATTTGCTCAACAAGACTTGGAAACGCACGTAATATTGTGCTTTACCAATAGAAATGGAGTGACCCAGCCAAGGTGGCATTTGAGGCTCTGGATGCAGTGTCGGAATTTAATGCGAGGAATCCAAATACTGTGAAGGATAAAACATCTTTGAGCGCTGCTAATTTGGAACCTCCCCCCTCTGATTTTCATCTTGTTCGTTCAGATGCTGGGATCGGGGGCGCAGATTATATTACCGTGATACTGGACAAAGATAACAGTGTGTTGGCTTCCTTGTGCAAGAAAGAAGAGGTTTGTCTCCAACCTGCTGTGGCAAAAATCCTAGCTTTAAGGTGGAGCATGGAAACAGCTTCTGTATCAACCGTGTGACAAATATTGCTAATCTTGAGTTGTTAGCTGAAGATTGTCGTACTTTATTGAAGTCTTTTCCTTTTTTCTAGCCTTATGTTTATTCTTAGGAAGTTTAATTCTGTTGCCCATAATTTAGTGTTTGCAAAATTTGTAGGTTCAAAAACTTGGTTTGGAGGATGTCCTTTGTTGGAGTCCTCTTCTATTGTACCTCCTTTGGTTGTTTCGTAATGAAATATGTTTCCCGTCAAAACCAAAAAAAAAAAAAAAAAAGATTAATTTGATCGAAAACATGATGGATCCGGGATCAGAGATCTAGTGAATAAAAAATTGCCACAGAGATTGAACCCTAGATTACAGCTCCGTCTTTACAAAATTAATGGAGCCGGTTTGTTTACAAACTTGAATCAGATTATTTAATGAAAATAAATCATGACAAAATACTATTAATATGGTTAAGGGAAAAATCACAATTGCTTTACAAACAATAGCATAACTTAACAATATTATTCCCTTTGCGAACTGGATCTTATCCAGAATTCTACTCTATGTATTTGTTATCACTAGTAATACATCTTACACTTGTAACTTCCCGCTATTGTTCCAAAGCTTCCACTTAAAGAATGGTACCTACGGAAAAAAGAATGAACTTAATTGGTGACTTTGTCTGATCACACACAAGAACATTGCAGCCATATTACTTGATCTTTAACGACGGCTGCTAATGCCCAAAAAATAGATCCTGCCACAATCTCACATTGATTTTTCTTAATGTAAAAACCCTTAACTACACACTGAAAATTTTAGGGGAAGAATCTCCTTTTAAGAGATGGATTGAATTGGCAAGTATCACTTGGGAGGATCTGAACTTATTAGATTGACCCACAAGTTTGCGAGCTTGACAAAGCAATGCTTCCCGTTCCACGTCACCAAATTTAATCCTGGTACATAAAAATAATAGTACGTGATGATAGATAATTGAGATTTCCAACAGTTTTAAATGAAAAATGAAGGAAGAGATTTCCAACATCACATCATTTCCCATTTCATTTAAAAAATATAGCTTCTGAACTAACAATCCAAATAGATACCAAGTCAAATGTAAATTGGTGCTTAATATTCAGCTATTAATGCAGAATGCAGAAAGAATCTTTCCCACATTATTAATCTAGCAGCACATTTGCAGATGCACCTTAATTTGTTACACCTTATATATCAGGGGTGTTTTAATAGTTTAGTCCTGCAGATCAAATCTATAGTAGCATCATCTGAGAACTTGTGAGAGGGTTCAACTGCTAGCGGATCAGTTTAGCTAACACAAAAAAGATTTCACTTCATGTGTTGTTTATGTGGCAGATGGCCAACGGAACTAAATTGAAGAGATATCCTAATTCCATGCATCAATAATTGTTGAAACATGTATGAAAATTTAAGTTCTTAAAGATTTATTATCATCATTGATAGAAACATTACACTTTGTCACACTGGAAAAAAATATTTTCTATTAAAAACATAACTTTCAAGTCATATTTTATCAGCAGGGAAGAGATAGCTAAGCTTATTGTACAAATACCTGGTATGCAACCAGCAGGCAAGGCTGACAATTGGCACGTAGTTTCCTCTCCTGAAAAGACATAGGTCTGAAGTACATGCTCATCAAGCTCATGAATGTACTTAATGGATTCAACTAAGTCCCTTGAGATGCCATTGGCATCAAAGTTATTATTATTTGATACACTAGAAAGAGCTTCTTCAAGTCCTGAAGCCAACCATAGGCTATTACACTCGTTCAAAAGGGCAAATAAACTTGTACAATCTACGGAACCTGATAAGATCCATGGTTTGTGAAATTTGGCCGAAGCTCCAACAATTTCTGCCACTCTATAAATTTCTCCAAGTGCATGGACATACTGAACACCTATGTCAATCCATGGCCGCAGAAAAAGGAAGAGGTTAATTCATACTCCATAAGTTCATCTGCATCAGCAGCACGTGACTGGGCATGATTTAATCAAGTAGCTTACCTTTTGGGATAGATAATAACTGGTCATGGACGTTCTTTTGTACAGCTTGCTTCCAGGTATAAGCACCATGTTGCAGCTCTTGAGAACAAACAAAGACAATCTTGGACCACATTGTAAGATAATTAGATTGTTCTTCTACTGACCCCAACTTGAGAATTCTTAATGTTGATACTGATTCTTTCAAGAGTTCCATAGCAGACTTTATATCCGTCTCAGCCTATCCAAATAGAAATATAATCATGCAATAACAGGTGTTGTCAAGCTAAATGGTCCAGTAAGAAAGAAGGTTAGCAATAAATTACAATAAGAAAACATAATCCTTATCAATTCAATTAATCTTAAGAACTCACAAGTATCATTACTTATGCTAATGTCAGTTAGTTATATCGTTATATATTTAGTATAGAACTAATAAAATCCTATATATTTGCACACACAATAGAGTAAAACTTGAAAATACAACACTCAACATTTTCAAGAGATAGACATACCACAGACAACCTTGATGCTAGCTGGTATTCAGATTCAAGAGGTAGGAACTTTGGCTCCTTTAAAACTTTAAGAAGCTCATCAAAGTTCACATTTCTTGGCGAATAATTTTGTGAGAGATATTCAACGGGCACACTCATATGATGCTGATGCAGTATCCGAGAAAATTCCTGTGCAAGAAAAGAAAAGTAGGAACAAGGCTGAAACTATATTAAAGTATGCATTTAATTTAATCAATAAAAAGAAAATGCATACCCTAATAATAAGCAGAAGAAAACCAATTTCACAATAGCATTAACTAATGGCCTCACTCAATCATTTTTGACAGAGGCCTTTGAACCAATGAACACAAATCACAACCATGCCATTAAGCTTAGGGTTTTATAGCTTGGGAGTTGCTTTTGTAAGGAGAAAATAAATAGCTAGCTTGGGAGTTGCTATTGTAAGGGGAAAATAAATAGGCACAGAAAAAATATTATCAAAGAAAGAGCAGAAGAGCTTTTTCACCTCAAGAGCTTTTACTTTTGCATCTTCACCCGAAAAAATATTATCAAAGAAAAAAAGAGCACCAAAAAAAATGTTATCACAGAAAATAAATAGCCATATTCTGACCTTAATTTCCACCTCAAGAGCTTTTACTTTCGCATCTTCACCCGAAAGAGCTGCAACCTCTTGAGCTTTCTAAGAAAATTTGTTGGTCAATAATTTCGGTGTTAGTAAGTATCGTCCAATTTTTATCAAAGAAAGAGCACAAAAGGTTACCTACCTTAAGGTTCTGAAGATGGAACAGGACATTATTGCACAACTCATCCTTCAATGTGCTAAAAAACTCCACACAATCAGATGGTTTTAATTTGGTGGATAACTGCATCTGTAAATCTCTGTGATCTATAGTAGATGCTTGATATTGAGTACTTTTTCCAGATATAGCATCCTTAAATTCCCACGAATCTTCTTGAAAACCATCATTATCATTGATCAAATCAGAATTTAAAACATCCAAAGAAGTTTGCAACCCATTCTGATTGACTTCTGTTGGATGATTAAGAGACGTGTTTCGTGCAGATTCCTGGGCTAATGTGGTTTCAGGTGAAGCATCCTTAAAGTCCCCAAAGTCATCATCAAAATCATCACTGTAGTCCAAACCGGAGCCTGTTAATTCGAGGGAGGCACGTATCTGATTTTCACTTGCTTTTGGTGTCACATTAGGAGAAGTTTTGTTTTCACTTTGACTATATAAACTCCATATCAAGTCATTGATAGATATGTTGGAACCAGGACTATTAAAGTTGTTCTGCATTGGAGATACTGGTGCATGGGGAGACAAATCTTGAGATACAGAATGTTCATTTGTATCAGGCATATCATCACCAAAAATTGACAGAGGCAAGGCTTCCCTACGATTCTCTGAAGCTGTTAGCGGCTTCTGGAAAAAGATAGAATAGTAGCAAGGACAATATGTTTAAAAATTGTGAATAGTTGTTGAATATTAGACCAACTAATGAGCAATAAGATTGATTAATGAAATTTTTAGTAGACGTATAAGCAAAGTTTAAGAACTCGAGATTGAATGTCCTTATTAAAAAAAAAATTTAACCCGGACAAATTTTGAGTCACTCAAACTGAATCAGTACCTCATGTTTTATTCCTATTTCCGTGACTGCGTCTTTTGGTTCTAACAAATTGAAATTTGAATCATCATTTACATTGGTTGGAGAGGCACTGCTTTTGTTGTTTTCATCGTGGTTTTTTTCCGTTACGAAGTATGACTCTGAAAATACACTGTTTTTGCCCATGGAACTAGATTTGAAATTAAAGTCAAAGCCCCACCCATTAGATTGATGAGATTGTGATGCAAGATATGGATCAACAGTACTATGGGAAGCTCCACCATCATCATTGAGTGCTTCTACAGCAGTGGGATATAAATTATCCTTTTTTGGTGCTTCCTAATACCAAAAATCCATAATCAGATTGTATTAATGCATATTCCTTGACAATCTAAACAATGTTACATAAAATGAGGAAACAATGTTGAAACAACCAACCAAAGTTTGATCTGATCCTGGCCATGAATGTGCATTTGCCAACTTCCCAAAAGTTTGATTGAACATGGTAAACCCAGCTCCATTTTCATTTGATTCACCTTTCGGACTTAGCTGTAGGCTGTGAGATGCAGAAATAGGACTGAACTCAAACCCCAGGTTCCGTTCACCAACTTTGTCAGATGAGTCTAACAAAGCACCAGCTCCAACTGCACTGTTACCATGCTTGGGCGTTTCAACCTTAATTAAAAATATAATACAGAATATCACTTCAATCAAATGCAATTCATGAAGAAGAGAAAAAAAGGTCTTTATATTTAAGCAAGCACGTGTTATTATGAAGAAACACGAAATGAACCTCTTGCCCAAAGGCCAAAAACTTAGTTTCTTAATATATTATTACTCCAAAACATAAATATACAAAATTGAAATGAACGAATACAAAATTTATACTAGTTTCTAGCATTCACGTAAGCTTCACCCAATTTACCTTAACATTGAAGTTTTCATTTACAGTTTCCCGTTCCGCAGACTTGAATTCCCATCCATCGTCCTCGTCGTCCTCCTCATCCTGATTCAAATCGTTTACACTCGATTTCTTCGGACTGGTAGAGCCGACATTGGATTTCAAAGCTGATCCGTTTTGCTGATGATACAAATTGGAAATCAAATCACTAATTCCAACGGAACCATTCGAATCGGATCCCTTTTTCACAACAGCACCACCACCGTTGGAGAAAAAATCATTGGAACTGGAATCAGAAACAGGTTCATCATCTTCTTCCTCGCCGAAGATTGAAAGCGGAATAGCTCCGCGAGCTTTGTTTGCGGTTTTCCCGAGGGGATCCGGGGAAACTGTAAATGGATCAGAGGGTTTTGAAACGGTGGTGCCATTGATGTGATTGGAATGGTTGACGAAGTTGCCCCAACCGGAGGTGGAAGGGAGTGGTTGATTGGGAACGGAAGCGAACTTGAAGTCGCCGAAGCTCTCGTCGTCTTCCTCGTCCTCTGCCATACCTGAGAGATTCGCTCTCTCCCTTTGTGTTGTGTTGTTCTAGCTTTCGGTGCCAATAGCGTTTTTTTTTCTTTCTTTCTTTTTGAGTATGATGATAGATCTAGTGGCAAATGTTAATTCCAGAAAATTTGATGTGTGACACTCATGGCACCATTATAGCTTAAATATTTAATAAATAATGAATCAATCAATGGCGAGTGATGATCATAATAAAATAGAATTTAAATTTGAATAAAATTAGTACATGAATACTTTTGATTTCTTTTGATTGTATTGAATAGCACCAATACACCTTTCAGATTGTTTGTTCAGATAAAAGTAAAATTATAAATTAATCGATCCTCCACTCTATACACTCCTATTTCTTTTGAGAATTACATGAATACGTGTTTTCATTTTTTAACAAAAATAAATGTATTTTATAGGTCATGGATCAGAAAGTTAAAACTTTGAATATTTACTTCTAAAAATATGCTAATTGAATAGTACACTTGTTCACGTAGAGAATACCAAACCGATAACCCAATGATACTAGTTAGATAGAGATATTCATAATAACTGATTTTTTAAATGTTAGGATTCTCTATCTTTTTAGTTTGAAGTTTGTTAGTCAATCAATGGTTATAAATACATACACCATCAAGTTATTATTATAAATAAATTTGATTTTTTTAATATTATTTTTGTATATTTATTCATTATAGGATTTTGAAGACATGTTTGAATATATTAACGTCACGACGATAAAAGTTCTTAAAAACGCGTTAGTGATACTCGACTTTCGTTGTTGTGTATGCTTATTTTCGATCATTTATCTAGATTTGATATAATGCTCTTACTATATCATGTAAGGTAATTAGGATAAGATATCTCTGATGTGCATAATGTTGGTGATTTTAGTATCACCAATGTATTTTAGTAGTAATGTGATTTACTAAAGGCCGACGCAATTATGCGTTAAGTTCGGAAACGAGTTAGGGAAGTGTGGAGTGCACGCTCGTCGAGTCAATGCATAATTGAATATGAATAACTGAAACGGGGTTCCAAGGGGCGAAGCCCCTGGCGGGGTGTGGGGCAGCGCCCCGTTCGAAAATTTTGAATCCTTTTCCCCAACCGACATAACCGTTTTTCCGAACAGGTGTGTCTTTTCGGTCCCCAACCGACATAATCGTTTTTCCGAACAGGTGTGTCTTTTCGGTTTCAGTTATTGATCTCCTATATAAGGAGTCATTTGGCCTCGGTTTCAGATACGAACGAAAAACAATACTTTCTCTCTACATTTGTAATCAGTTTTCTTTTGCCAGAAACAGATTGTTCTTCAAGAATTATCCCCACAAAGATTTCGTGAACCCAGGCAAGAATAGGGTCGAAATACTTTGTTCGGAAAGTGTACGAACACGATTCTTCGAAGTTATCCAGGGTTATCATATCCAAATTTCTAACACATAATCAGTCTTCTACCTAGATTCAATATCATGCTCTTATTATATCCTACAAAGTAATCGAGATAAGATACTTGAGATGTACATAATCAGTCTTCCGCCTAGGCCCATTGTCATGTTCCTATCATATCTCGCCAATAACCAGGATGAGATATCTGATACGTACAACATTAAACAATCGAAAGTATGGTTAATATTAAAGTTTGACTTACTCCTTTATACAAAACTTGTTAGTAAGGTGATGAACGATGTTTTATATAACCTCTTATCAAGTTCTATGTCTAGTCAATGTGAGACTCGAGATCTTCTCAATATACCATTTGCACTTATGACTCTTTTTGGACTTGGTGTGTGAATATAAACGGTGGACGACTCATGGTCCAATCGATAGACTCTGATGCCATACTAGAGTATATGGGTTATGTATAACTCAATCATACAAAATCGACTTATGGTGAGGAGTGTCACTTTATATAAATCTTTTCAAGCTTTATTGCAGGACTTTTTAGATTTTCCTAATACACCCTTTCATGCCAACACTATTGGGCTTAATGTGTAGATATTAATGGTGGGTGGCTCATTATTTGATCGATAGACTCTGATACCATATTAGAGTATGTGGGTTGAGTATAATATATTCCTACAAAATCAGCTTTGTGAGGCGAGAGGTATCAATATATATAAACTCTTATCAAACTATATACTTATTCAAATGGGACTTGTGATTTTCTCAATACACCCCCTTACGCCCAACACTCTTTTTTGGGGTTGGTAAGTGGATACAGATGGTAGGAGGCTCATAGTCTGATCGATAAGCTTGCATACCATATTATAGTAGGTGGGTGTTAGCTGGAAATTTTGACTAAGGATTTTAAAGTTAGACTTGAATATACTTCAGAATATTTCACTACTTTATTTATGTGAAGCCATAAAGGTTGAGATTCGAATTGAGTAAAATTTGTTGGAAAGGTTTACCAATTCGAATTATTGAATAAAGATTGTTATTCGAAATGTGGCTAAGGTTTCAAACATTTTTTCGTTCGACCATCTTCAGAGATTGGCGCTCAAGATAAGAAGGAGATTCGAATACAGATATTTTGATCTTATCCGAAAAGACGCGTGGAAGGCTCTGAGTTTGTCGAAGACATGCAAACAGAAACGTGACATTAGTTCGTGTAGAAGACCGTTAGGGTCGAAGTAGTATAAATAGTGACTTTAGTATTTCGATTTAGGTGGTGAACATCTTTGTACAAATTACTTAGAAATTACTCAAAGTACCAAGTGTTAAAGAGAAACGAGTTTATTGAGGATGTACGTATGATACACCCATTTAATATAAATGCATTTACTTTCTGCAGAATTTCCAGTAACATTCACTTAAGTCTTTTACCATTTCAAGTTTTGAAGTAATTTTACTTTCACTTTATATACATTTTAATTCGACATTTGAAGCCATTTGTCTTCATATACAAAACATGTTAAATACAACAATCAAGTTTAAAGATTAATAAAGACACTCGTGTCCTGAGATCAATCTGATCAATCTCGCAAGTAACTGGATCCGTGTAAGGATTTGGAAGATCAGCGGTTGTTTACTAAAATTCGAGGGTAAACAAATTGGCACACCTGGTGGGACATGTGTCTTTATCCATCTTAGTTTTAACTTGTTTATTGCATGAGATTGAGAAGTGGAAAACTAGCCAACAATACAAATCCTAGACCAAAAGGACAACACATTAGGGGAATGGTTAACCCACCCACTAGTGATACACAACAAGTTCACCCTCCTGTGGGAGGAAATACCAACGCTTCGAATACAAACGAAGTGATGACGGCGAGTGAAGGGACTGCAACGATCCTTTCGACAACAAGCGTTGCAGTTATACCCCAAAATAAAAACGCTTCAACTATATCATCAAACACCTATAACGAACATACCATTGTGTCTATGGCCAATCAAAATCCACCATTAACACCCAGGCCTTCGATAGGTATGTCTAGAACTTTTCCACCAGGATTTACAATCCAAACATCAGATCCTATATATGGCATGCCAACTTCGTTCATGACGGGATTTCAAAATAATACGTCGACATACACCCGTCCCGTAACATCTACTTTATCACCATTGCAAGGATCAGGGTCTGGGATAAACCATATGGCTAGAAACAATTCGCAGCCAATCCAAATACCTGCTATCACCACAAATACACAAACAGTCATAAGGCAACAAATGGACAATAGCAACCACGAGATGTTGGGCGTATTGGCCCAACAAATGGGTACGATTTTCAACCCTTTAATTCAAAGCACTACACAAACTAACTTGCAGAATGCCGAAGCAAACCAACAAATGGCAACGCAAATAGGGCGTATTGCAGATTTCTTTGGTGCACCCAGAGAAGCAGTTCGACAGCCACCATGAAATCCTTCAGGGTTATCGACAAAATGATATGGTGGGAAACAATAACCTAGCAGCCTTAGTGGAAAGGATTATGGCACGAAATGGGGTAAACTTAGATATGTATAGACCAAATTATACATCCCATTTGTCAGAATATATTCAACAAACTGAATTGCCAAGGGGATGGAATGTACCCAAATTCACCAAGTTTTCTGGTGATACTAGTGAATCTACCATATAACATATCTCCAGATACCTTACAGAGGCATGAGATATAGCAAATAATGAAAATCTAAGGATTAAATACTTCCCTTCTTCGCTGACAAAAAATGCTTTTACTTGGTTCACCACCCTCGCGGTGAATTCCATCCATGATTGGACTCGTTTGGAGAGGTTGTTTCATGAACAATTTTATGTAGGACAAACCAAGATTAATCTAAGCGAAATGGCAAATGTCAGGCGAAAATTTAGTGAACCCATAGACGATTACCTCAACAGATTCCGTTTGTTGAAGGCAAGATGCTTCACACAAGTGCCATAACAGGAGTTGGTCGAAATGGCAGCAAGAGGTTTGGACTTTTCTATCAGGAAAAAATTAGATCCCTATTATTTGAGGGTTATGCGCAATTGGCTGATAGGGTTCGACAAGTTGAGTGTTTGAAGATCGAAAAGGCTAGGGCGAAACAAAGTCATAGAAAAGAAAGAGTGGCTTATATCGAAGCCTGCTCAGACGAAAGAGGAGTCGAAGAGGATTTCTCAGAAGTCGAAGAGCACGAAATAGATCTTGCAGAGTTGAAGCAAGGACCACCGTACCCTTGCAAAATGTTGACTCCTGCGAATGGGAAAAATCCCGTCGAACCAGAAAGGAGCGACAAATTTCCAAGAAAATCTTATACGTTCGACATTACCAAGTGTGATGAAATTTTCGACTTACTAGTTAAAGATGGCCAGATGATAGTGCCCCCTGGTGCTAAAATTCCTCCGTTAGAACAACGGAAGAAAAGGGGTTTCTGTAAGTATCATAATTTCTTAGGCCACAAAACCTCACAATGCTTTCTTTTCAGGGATCTGATATAAAAAGCAATTCAGGATGGAAGGCTAAAGTTTGGGGAAAAACCCAAACCTCAAATGAGAATTGATGCTGACCCTATGCA